ACTTGCCAAAAGTCGATGCTTTTATGTTGGCTGCTTTTATAAATACAAATTCCCAATTTATTGGTGCTGAATTACGAGGAAAAAAACACAGAGGTATGTAACATTTATTCTTTGTAGTACTGAGGCATATTTAAGTATAAGTAGGTACCTACTGTTACGAATTTTTATATAGTTATAAATTAATGTTATAAACTTATTTTTCAGATCAGGTAGGGAGACGTATGGAGATAATGCTGTAGGTTATGTAGAAGTGAAAAGAGACAAAAATATTTCTTTAGTACGTGGAAAAATAACTCCAGAGCATAGCGTGAAAAAGAAAGTTTTTTTTTATATATTGACACCCCCTTACCCTTGTTATTTTTAAAGATTGTTTTTTTTACGAAATTATAGGAAATAAATTGTGTATCAGTAATAAAAATGTTATACAAGGTGTCCCATAAGCAAACGCCAAAATTAAGTTACTTTTTTAAGTGAAACACCCTATATATTTTTGGATTCTTCGGAAATTTCTAGATATTCTAGATATATTTCATGTATAATATCCTATACCTATCTTCAAATGTTTACGAAATATTGACAGTTGAAAAGCGAAAAATACCTACAATTTTCTGGACCACCTTTTTTGAGACACTCTGTATAACAAGAATTAATTTTAAAAGAGAGTATATGAAAAACCATGCAACTTTTTTATTTAATGTTTTCTTCTAAAACTTGCAGTTAAGGCTGTATATGGGTGTCAAAATATAATGAATACCCTGTACAGTACGTCTGTCCGTTCTGTAGCTACGGGGTATCCGTGAGAGGGGAAACAATATTCTCTCGATGTTTTTCGTAAAAAAATAGACGACGCGTCCCATCAATAAAAATTCAACAAATTTGCAAGTAGCCAATAAAATGAGTGGGCGGAGCGTTTTTTTGGGCGGTGACGCACTCGTCAAATCGACGTATAAAATATATTGCTGTTTATTTAAATGTTTTTTGTCCGCATTCCTTTCATAGACACATATCCAGCAGATGTACTGTACATTCAAATTTCATATATCTATGTAAGACAATATACATAAATATATGAACTTACATCAAAATGATCTTCACAACAATAAATCGTAAAAATAGAGGATAATTTAACGTTTTTCTTTTCATCTCTTCTCATGGCCTTGGAGCATTTTTTTCTGTTTTCGCTCATCCATTACTATTTATAAATAGCACTAATTACTAATTATGTATTAATTAACAAAAATAACTAAAATTTTGACACGGATTCAACAGCGTTTAAAAGCAAACTGTGTAAAATAAACACGCGTCTGGCTCCACTCAACCAGAAGAACGGCGGGTGACGTCACAGCGGCAAGGCGCGGTAGAGAGCGTTTGCCCGGCCATTTAAATTAACAATATTTAATTATTTTATATTAGAGGCATTTCTTAACCGATATCAACGATTTTTTTTTGTTCAATTTTTTTAAAACCATTATTTAAAAACATGCATTTTCCTCATTGAAAATCATGAAATTAAGGGACAACAAACGGCAACATAGTTGGGTGCCCGAGTAGACTAGTTGGACGTAGACGCTAGTTGCGCCATTTAATTGAAGCTCTTTAAAACATCATTTTCGAGTATAATTTTGTCGTGATAAGATAGCATATTCGATCGTCGCTCCGCGCTAACGATATTATAATGCAAAATTAATCGCCGCTAAAGTTTCTCATGGAAAACTATCGAACGCAGCCTAGTTTACGGCTCACGTGCGAATTATTAGATCGCGCCTCAGCGTAAATATAACATTAATTGAATTGGGGATATGCGAAAATTTAATGGGATATTGCCACGATTCCGGTATCCACCTGTCAGACCTAATGTAATTACGTCATGCAATAATAATAATTTGGTTGTCGTTTCGGAACGAGGCGAGGGGATGTTGTAACAAGGGTGTATTTTATGGTTATTAGCGTCTCATCCCCGAAAAGTTGCTGGGACTGAATAGAATTAATATAAGCTTGATGAATTTCAGTTGATTTCAAAACATTCCGACCCCAGCGCTGCCTACGGCAGAAATCCGAAATTTTCGCTGTGTTTCACGCCGCACACTGGTTCGCTCTTATGGACGTACGTGGCCAAAACCTGTATTTTATTATATCAGTGAAAATGAATGTATCAGTTAATATTTTTTAGTAAATCTATAAATATTTAGGCGTTTGGAGTTGCCTAATATATAAAAAAAGTTCTTTATCATTAGGCGTTTTCAATGATGATGGTTCATTAGAATTTAAAAGTGTTATTTATTTACCAATAATTACAAGGGTATTACTTTATAAAGGTATTTAACAAAAATTGAAAAAAAAAACAGATTGAAGAATGCTTAGAACATAACCGGTATATAGTTCATAAGCTAATAAATATATAGATACAGAGTGGCCTATTAGTGTGAGAAAGTCCAATATCATCGTTGTAGACGAAAATATGAAAAAAAGTATTATATAGATATTTGCATGGTTTATAACAGTGCATATCCTAAAAATATTTTGTTATATACAGGGTATCAAAAAAAGTAATGATTCAAAGCGTTGTCTTTTTTAAATCACAGCATAAAATTGTGCATATAGGACACTATTTTTATTTGGAAAACTATGCGGTGTTGCCATGCTATTTCTTCTTTATTAAAATTTTGGTTAATAATAGTAGGTACCTACATATATCCGAAAATTGGTTAAAACCTGAAGTTAATTTATATTTGTTAATATCTAGTACTATACTATGTTAATACCCTGAACTTTACCTATATTTTCTTAACACCAAAGAAACGAGAATAAATTTGTGAAGAAAAACTCACATTAATGTGTGCCGGTTATTTTTTTATGGCGTGGCTAACAATGTAATATTTAAAATACTCTATTTCAATTTTTGAAATGCACATTTCTTAGCCATGCAACATTTATATAAAACTTTTGTTTACGAAGACAATTTATGCTGAATAGCAGATATTAGCAGCTAATTTGACATGGTTCTTAAAAAAGACATTATGAAGTTTCATTTAAGTTAAAAACAATCACTTAGTTCAGCTTCGATATCCTTGATTTAGTTATGTATAAAAATATATTTCAAAGGTACAATATATTTTGATATTTTGAAATGGTTAGTATTATTTTTTTTTTCATTTTATTTATCAAAAACTGATATTATATGAGGAAAGTAGACGTGCAGTATAGTCTAATTATAATATGCACTATTTTATATTATTTTGAAAACACTAAGCGAGTAATTTATTCATTGTCGATACAAAAATAGTTAAATGCTTTTTTAGACTATTGTATATAAAATGTTATTACATAGGTGCTCTAAAGTGAATTTTTCCAAAATATATTACCAAACAAAAAAATTATATACCAAACCAAACCAAACCAAACCAAAACAAACCTTTCATGTTTTTAAATATAGATTATAAAATATTTGATCATATATGATCAAAATAATTTTTTTCGATATATTGAGTTTTGGCCAAATTTTTATAAGGGAGGGAACTACTGTGCGCCGTTCCGGTTACAGTTTATGTTGATTGCATTAAAATAATATTGAAATCGTGGCTTTGTCGTAATATTTAAGTATTTTAGTTTTTTGCTAGTGCAGTTATTTATACTAATATATAAAATCCCTAAGTGACTGACTCACTGATTCATCACGATCCTGCTCAAACCACTCAACGTAAGAAGCTCAATTTTGGCATAGATGTTGATTCTAGGGTGTATAGGTTCGATAAGGAGGGCTTTTTCAAAATTCCAGTTCCAAGGGGGTGAAACCACCCCTCAAATATTACAATATTTTCCGAAAAAACGCTTAAACACTTATATTTTATTGTTTTTTTTACATATTTTAAGATTTTTTAAAAATGTATACAGGGTGTTTTGAAAAATCTGGTCATTGATTAATCACGATCCTGCTTAAAGCCCTTGACGTAAAAAGCTGATTTTTGGAAAACGGATTGACTTTAGGGTGGAGAGGTTCGATAAGAAGGGATTTTTCGAAACTCGAATTCTAAGGGGGTGAAACCACCCCTCAAATATTAGAATATTTTTTATTTAAAACCGGTGAGTTTTTCGGAAAAACTCTTAAACACGTATATTTTATTTTGTTGTTTTACATATTTTAAGATTTTTTAAAAATTTATACAGGGTGTTTCATAAAATATAACCATTGAGTAATCACGATTCTGCATAAACTATTTGACGTTTACAGCTGATTTTTGGCAAACGGATTGACTGTGGGGTGTAGTAATCTCAAATTCCAAGAGGGTGAAAACGCCCCTCAAATATTAAAATGTTTGTTATTTAAAAAAACGGTTAGTCTTTCGGGAAACCGTTCGAACACGCATAATTTATTTTTTTTACATATTTTGAATTTTTTTAAAAAATCATACAGTGTGTTCCGAAAAATTGGGTAATTAGTTAACCACTATTCTGCTTAAACTGCTTGACGTAAAAAGCTTATTTTTGGCAAACGGATTTTTCGGAAGTCAAATTCGAACGAGATGAAACTACCCCTCAAATATTACCAAGTTATATAATAATATCGCCATATTGTATATTGTTTTTTCTCATGCTGACATAAATGTGAGAAAATTTTATCCAATTTGTATGTTAATGGAAATTCTTGCTTTGCTTTATCATCACCATTACAAATGATTAATTCGACGCGAACGAAGTCGCGGGTACACGCTAGTTATTTAATAAATTTTTCATATACTCCCTATTTAAACCCGTCTATTTGTATATATCAGTAGTCTACGATATTCTCCGATGGTGGCAGCACCAAACCTATAGATAAATTTAAAACAAGAGAAGCTACGTATTGATTTTGTAAACAATCCTTTTTTTGTGGTTGTAATATCCGGTTACAATTCCAAATTACTGGTGTTTTTCAAAGGTCGACCCACCCATATAACTTTTTGTTTTTTCAGAAAAAAATACATTTTTAGATTAATATACTGATCTTCAATTTTTTTTTACAGTTGGATGTCCTGAAACAGTGTTACAGCTATCCAAAAACCCATAGAAAATCTTTGGTAAGTAAAAAAACTATTATATCATAATCCGTTGATGAATATAAAGTAGGTATAAATAAATTTAGGAGATTTATTCCTAAAATTACATACTACACTGAAATAGACTAAGGGCTGGCAAAGGTTAGTCTTGGGTCGAGATTTCCGTATGTAAGAAGAGTACAATGCGTTTATAATGTACTGAACAAAGAGAGGACAGTAAACACGTTGCCAAACGTATGAAATAACCCGAGAAACTGTGCACATCGCTAAGAGACGTGGAAAGGGATATAGCAGATTTGTCGCAGTTGACCGGTCGACCCAATCAATACCTCTGTCAGTACTTAAAGTTCTAGGGAAAGGTGTAGGTCATGCGTTCAGCTTCACGATTTAATTACGTCTCGTGATACTTAATTTGTTTATTTATTACAAGTCGTTGTAATTTTCCTTATAGCTTGAATTTTTTTAAGTGCAAGCTAGAAACACTTGCATTTTTGGTAAAAATAAGTGGAATTGAGTGGGTGTTTGATAGTGGTCGCGCTATTAGAACTCTACTACTGAATTCAAAAATCGATATCTCGAAATCTATTAGAAATAATAGGTTGTAGTTTTTTCAAGAACTTTGTTAATATTTCTGCTGTATTTTCTTTGTAGACAGTATGTGAAAATCTTTATCAATAAAAAAATTACACGATTGCTGAAAATTGCTATGCTCTAAAAGTAAACGGATGGATTGTTTACAATTTTTGTATGGAAAAAACAACCTTATCGAATTTTTCTTATGTAAACATATTGTAAAATATCCGATCCTGAAAATAAAAAAAAGTTTCAATATCTAAAGTGGTTCTTGAGTTATGGCCTGTTATTTGTTAAAAAGTTAGTTTTTAAATTATCGCGATTACTGACGTTTTCTCGTTATAAAAAAAATGACACCCTAACTATATCCTTATAATTCCATTTCAGATGCTCAGAAACATGTCTAATGATTTTATCTAGTTATCTCTTGAAAAAAAAGTCTTTTAAAAATAAGCGGTTTGCGATCGTGATTTTACTTTACTTGATAGGGAAAGGCGTATTGGCAACGCCGCAACAGCACACTGTCGCGCGTCGCGTCGGTCGGTCGCATTTCTCTCACTCCGACTTAATTAGATCCCTGTGCGATTTACTTCCACACATGTAAATGCCGACCCAAAAGTAACAGTTGCCAGCACGGTATAGTTGTCAATCTATCGTAAGATGGTACAAATACCGTTTGATGTATTGCTTTGGCTACTGAAAAATGCGCTTACCTGTTCTATATTAAAGAAGAAAGATTTACTGCTATGACGGTGTTCCACGAATAAAAGGGTTCAATAGATTGATAATTAAGATTATCAATTAGAGATATAAAGAAAACTATATTTCAGTTTTTCAGTTTTTGGCGTAGTAATAATACACTAAATATTATTAGATAATAGTTATATTTTATACAAGACGATAAAATATTTGTTATAGATAAATAATATTTTAAGTTTGCTTAACATTTTTTAGAAATGTCCGAAAGCCAGTTATTTTGGTTTGAAAAATTAAAAAAATATATATAACCACTGGATTTTTTATGGGTTTTCTTTTTTGAAGAACACTTAATATGTCAAACTATTATTAAAAAACTACTAAACTAATTACTTTTACTGAACCCTGTTCTATTCTGAGAATTACTCTTTGTTGTACGCCTATGACTGGATTTATATTTCGAACTTCTTCAAATATCATTTAAGAAATTGTTACTGAACCGTGAAAAAATTCGATCGTAAGGCTTTATAGGTCGTTTGGGATAACAGGAACATATAATTTTACACTCAGGCTCCTCCTTGTTCTAAATTTGGATATCGAAGGTGTTTTTCTAACGTTTTTTTTTTATTTTAGCCACTTATTTTTAATGTAAAAGACTTTATTAGATGAAAATCATAAAATAAAAATACTTTTCTTTGGGTTAGCTTATAATAGACAGGATATCCCAATATTCCTTGGATTTAAGTCATTTTTGAAAATGCAAAAATAGCCAAAATTGAGCATTTCCTCAATTTTTTCCATACATAGTCATGAAAATTGGCGATTTTTGTCATGTCAGTGATTTTATTAAAACTGCTGTTATTTAATAATTAAAAGAGATGTATATATATATATATATATATATATATATATATATATATATATATATATATATATATATATATATATATATATATATATATATATATATATATAAATAAAGTTTCATCATCATCATTTAATTCACACTGGTTAAGGTACTATTTTATAGTTAATCTACTCTTTTTGATAGATATAATGCAATTTTAACAGTAGATATGGAAAAAATTAAATTTCTTCATTTCCATTGACAAAAACACTCTCAATTCTGTGTTAGAGGCTTTATAGTATTGTTAGAGCTATGATAAAATCAAATGAAAATATGAAACAACAAAAAAATATATTTTGACCTCACGTTATCGACTGGATGGATCAAACACAACGGCAGCTTAATTTTTATTGAAATTTTAAATTACCCCGGATTGTACAGCATGCACGAGTTTGCGTTTAAAAAACAATAAAAAACACATTTTTAATTTTGTTCGTTTGCTGGTGTTGTCGGGCATAGGCAATACAAAAAAAATCAAAGCAAAATCAAACATGAAATGCATTTTTGATTAATTTTCGAATCTACGATCGGCCATGAAAGTCCATGTATATAGGCAAAGTTAATTAGTGTTGAATTAAAAAATTACACAAACCAACGAAAATATAAAGTGAAACGTATTTTTAAACTTTGGACGCCCCCATTTTACGATCATTTTTAACTATGCCAATAAACGAAAAATAAAATAAATTATTATAGAAAATTTATTAATTTATTAAGTGACTGACCCACTGATTAATCACGATCCTGCTCAAACCACTCAACGTAAGAAGCTCAATTTTGGCATACAGGTTGATTCTAGGGTGTAGAGGTTTTCGAAATTCCAGTTCCAAGGGGGTGAAACCACCTCTCAAATATTACAATGTTTTTTATTTAAAAAATGGTCAAGTTTCCGAAAAAACGCTTATACACGTACATTTTATTTTTGTTTTTTACATATTTTAAGATTTTTTAAAAATGTATACAGGGTGTTTCAAAAAATCTGGTTATTGATTAATCACGATCCTGCTTAAAGCGCTTGACGTAAAAAGCTGATTTTTGGAAAACGGATTGACTTTAGGGTGTAAAGGTTCGATAAAAAAGGACTTTTCGAAACTCGAATTCTAAGGGGGTGAAACCAACCCTCAAATATTAGAATATTTTTTATTTCAACCGGTGAGCTTTTCGGAAAAACTCTTAAACACGTATATTTTATTTTGTTGTTTTACATATTTTAAGATTTTTTAAAAATGTATACAGGGTGTTTCATAAAATATGACCATTGAGTAATCACGATTCTGCTTAAACTGCTTGACGTTTAAAGCTGATTTTTAGCAAACGGATTGACTGTGGGGTGTAGAGGTTCTATAAGGAGGGGTTTCTCGAATCTCAAATTCCAAGAGGGTGAAAACGGCCCTCAAATATTACAATATTTGTTATTTAAAAAACGGTTAGTCTTTCGGGAAAACGCTTGGACACGCATAATTTATTTTGTTTTTTTACATATTTTGAAATTTTTAAAAAAATAGGGTGTTCCAAAAAATTGGGTAATTGATTAACCACGATTCTTTGTTTATCTAGATTTTTCAGAGCACTATGAACGAACTCAGCTTGTATGTTTGAAATAATCGTCCAGTTGGCTTAAAAATGAAGATCGATGACATTTCCCATATAATTTTACTTTCAAAATTCTGATATATATCTTCATTCCTAAGCCATCTATGACGCCATTTTTTTTTCAGTTTTGTTATAATTAATTTTGTCTCTTGATCTACTTGTAACATTATTCCTTTAATTTTATTAATTTATTGTGGTGAAATTAATTTCTGTTGTATATTTGATATTAAACATATTTATAAAAAATGGTGTATTTTTTATGTTTTTATGTATGTCAAAAATAAATGAAGAATTAAATTTTTTTGTTATTTTAAACTTCCCGCCATGCGTGACAATCTAGTCCGTAGTTCCTACAAGCGATATTGGGGGCGCTAGTAGCAGTAGACTTGTCAACAGTGTCAAATTTAAACGTCAATTTCACTTTCCAATATTTAGCAAGGCGCTAGCACTTCTTCTTGTGTATGTGTTTTGTGTACTCTCTATTGTCTGTGATCAGATTTCACGGGTAGAGGGTGTGGTCTTGGCTTAACCGTCTGGATCAAGAGGAGACAACCTCACAAAAAAAACCTGGCTAGATAGAAGACTAGCCTCTACTGATCTCAACCCATTGGAAGCACCCCATTGTATTTTCTTCCTCTTACCGCATGCGGGGCTCTGTAGAAGAGGACTGACTAACCCACAAAACACATACACAAGAAGAAGTGCTAGCGCCTTGCTAAATATTGAAAAGTGAAATTGACGTTTAAATTTGACACTGTTGACAAGTCTACTGCTACTTGCGCCCCCAATATCGCTTGTAGGAACTACTGACTAGATTGTCACGTATGGCGGGAAGTTTAAAAAAATAATGCACTCGCTGGTCCTCGCGGCCTCAGTGGACGGTCCCACCCGGGACTCACTCTTAGTAAAATACAAAAACCACGATTCTGCTTAAACTGCCAACATATCATAATATCGCCATATTGTTTTTTCTCATGCTGACATAAATGTGAGAAAAATTTATCCAGTTTGTATGTTAATGGAAATTCTTGCTTTGCTTTATCATCAACATTACAAATGATTAATTCGACGCGAACGAAGTCGCGGGTACACGCTAGTGAAAATATAAAATGGTCAATGGGGGCATGAAAATTCAATAAATTTTCTAACCAATCGAAGTCTTTAAATTCAACCAATAAAATTAATATCGTATCATCGTATCGTCGGATAACGGATGCATAAAAATCAAACTGTGTGTTTTATTTTGCTGAAC